AGCAGCAGCAGCAGCAGCAGCAGCAGCAGCGTGTGAGCGGGACAGGATGATGAGCGGACAATGATGATGGCCAGGAAGCAGGACGCCCGCATTCCCACCTACAACGTGAGCGTGGTGGGGCTGTCTGGCACCGAGAAGGAGAAGGGGCAGTGCGGCGTCGGCAAGTCCTGCCTCTGCAACCGCTTCGTGCGGCCCAGCGCCGACGAGTTCCACCTGGACCACACGTCGGTGCTGAGCACCAGTGACTTCGGGGGCAGGGTGGTCAACAATGACCACTTCCTCTACTGGGGGGAGGTGGTGCGGGCGCTGGAGGAGTGCGTGGACTGCAAGATGCACGTGGTGGAGCAGACGGAGTTCATCGACGACCAGACCTTCCAGCCCCACCGCAGCACGGCCCTGCAGCCCTACATCAAGAGGGCGGCGGCCACCAAGCTGGCGTCGGCGGAGAAGCTGATGTACTTCTGCACCGACCAGCTGGGGCTGGAGCAGGACTTCGAGCAGAAGCAGATGCCCGACGGGAAGCTGCTGGTGGACGGGTTCCTGCTCTGCGTCGACGTCAGCCGGGGCATGAACAGGAACTTCGACGACCAGCTCAAGTTCGTGTCGAACCTCTACAACCAGCTGGCCAAGACCAAGAAGCCCGTCGTGGTGGTGCTGACCAAGTGCGACGAGGGCGTGGAGCGCTACATCCGCGACGCCCACGCCTTCGCCCTGGGCAAGAAGAACCTGCAGGTGGTGGAGACCTCGGCCCGCTCCAACGTCAACGTCGACCTGGCCTTCAGCACCCTGGTGCAGCTGGTGGACAAGAGCCGGGGCAAGGCCAAGATCATCCCCTACTTCGAGGCGCTGAAGCAGCAGAGCCAGCAGATCGCGGCGGCCAAGGACAAGTACGAGTGGCTCGTGAGCCGCATCGTCAAGAGCCACAACGAGGCCTGGGCCAACGTGAGCCGCAAGATGCAGCCGTCGCCCGAGTACCAGGACTACGTGTACCTGGAGGGCACGCAGAAGGCCAAGAAGCTCTTCCTGCAGCACGTGCACCGCCTCAAGCAGGAGCACATCGAGCGCCGGCGCAAGACCTACCTGGCCCTGCTGCCCCAGGCCTTCGACGCCCTCATCCCCGACCTGGACGAGATCGACCACCTGGGCCGGGGCAAGGTGGAGAAGCTGCTGGAGGCCAAGCCCGACTTCCTCAAGTGGTTCGTGGTGCTGGAGGAGACGCCCTGGGACGCCACGAGCCACGTGGACAACGTGGAGAACGAGCGCATCCCCTTCGACCTGATGGAGACGCCGCCCGCCGAGCAGCTCTACGAGGCCCACCTGGAGAAGCTGAGGAACGAGCGGAAGCGGGCGGAGATGAGGAGGGCCTTCCGGGAGAACCTGGAGACGTCGCCCTTCATCACGCCCGGGAAGCCCTGGGAGGAGGCTCGGAGCTTCATCATGAACGAGGACTTCTACATGTGGCTGGAGGAGTCCGTGTACATGGACATCTACGGCAGGCACCAGAAGCAGATCATAGACAAGGCCAAGGAGGAGTTCCAGGAGCTGCTCCTGGAGTACTCGGAGCTGTTCTACGAGCTGGAGCTCGACGCCAAGCCCAGCAAGGAGAAGATGGGCGTCATCCAGGACGTGCTGGGCGAGGAGCAGCGCTTCAAGGCCCTGCAGAAGCTGCAGGCCGAGCGCGACGCCCTCATCCTCAAGCACATCCACTTCGTGTACCACCCCACCAAGGAGACGTGCCCCAGCTGCCCCGGCTGCGCCGACTCCAAGGTGGAGCAGCTGCTGGGCTCCCGCTTCATCCGGCCCTCGGAGCGCAACCAGAAGAACCTGCTGCTGGACTCCGGCATCGACAGGATCAACCTGGTGATCCTGGGCAAGGACGGGCTGGCGCGGGAGCTGGCCAACGAGATCCGGGCGCTGTGCACCAACGACGACAAGTACGTCATCGAGGGCAAGATGTACGAGCTGTCGCTGCGGCCCATCGAGGGCAACGTGCGGCTGCCCGTCAACGCCTTCCAGACGCCCACCTTCCAGCCCCACGGCTGCCTGTGCCTCTACAACTCCAAGGAGTCGCTGTCCTACGTGGTGGAGAGCATCGAGAAGAGCCGCGAGTCCACCCTGGGCCGCCGGGAGAACCACCTGGTGCACCTGCCCCTGACGCTGGTCCTGGTCAACAAGAGGGGCGACGCCAGCGGGGAGACCCTGCACAGCCTGGTCCAGCAGGGCCAGCAGATCGCCAGCAAGCTGCAGTGCGTCTTCCTGGACCCGGCCTCGGCCGGCATCGGCTACGGCCGCAACATCAACGAGAAGCAGATCAGCCAGGTGCTCAAGGGCCTGCTGGACTCCAAGCGCAACCTCAACCTCGTCGGCTCCACGCCGGGCCTCAAGGAGCTGGCGGACGTGGACCTGCGCATCGTCATGTGCCTCATGTGCGGGGACCCCTTCGGCGCCGACGACGTGCTGCCGCCCCT